AACATTTAAGTGTAACATTTAACATTTGGATTTAAATATTTAAAATATCTCTAAGTTGACAAATATTGTTGTAAATGTGCAAAAAAGTGACTCAAAAATTCACACCAGTTTTTTAAACATGGTTTGAAGCTAAATGTGACAAAATGTTGCTGTTATTTTCAGCGTGAGCTGCTTTACAAACGGCACCCCATACCATTCTACTCTTACACACTCCAGGAACCAAAAGTGAGTCTGTATTTAGATAGAAGTGATCTATTGGGATAACATGGTTCTATAAGCTCTTGATTATATATGAAACATCTCTAATTATTGTACTGTTTCTGTTCACATACAGGCATGCTCCCTACCCCAACTTGTACCCAGATCAGTCTCCCAGTGAGGAATGGACCATGGAGGAGCGCTTCAGACCACTCACCTTCCACGGCCTCATACTGCGCTCGCAGCTAGTCAACCTGCTAATCAGAGGGGTTTGCTATGCTGAGAACCAATCCGTTAGTCAACCACACACTACATTGAATTACACTAATTTTGTGGAGACTTGAGCTGCTGTTGTGCTTGATGTTTTGGTCATTCTGCACGCCAGCTGACAAAGACACAACAGCTTCCCTTTTATACTCACGCTTAAGCAGCACTGTCTCGCAGCAGTCCTGCTCATAAATGCTAATTATTGCCACTGACAAATTGACAAAACAACTCCACCAGAAAAAAGGTGAAGAAGATGAAAAGGAAACACAGTTTTGCTCCCAGGAGCTCTGCTTCAGAGTTTGTTCCAAAGTTTCCTGCAGAATGCCTTGCCTTTACCAAAAGTTAATGAGGGAGCATACACGTATCGCAAAAGAAGGCAATAAACTGCTATAAATGATGTTTCATGTGCCATGCATTCACACTCTGCATGTCAATAAATTTATCCAATCAGATGAAGCCTTCCACCCTAAATAAAACTTTTCACGGCCCAGACATGTATGAAAAGACTCAAAATCAACATTGTAAGTATACTTAGTGGAGCTGTGCATGGCTCCCTCAGTGTCTGCCCCTGAGTTGGTGGCACTGCAGCTGTGCACCTCGGGTGTGGAGCTGTCTGTGCTCTCTGAGTCTGTAGCCAGGGACTGCTTATGTTTATTTATCACAAGTCATATTGACATTGCAATATTTATCAAGGTTATCACATATTTTCCTAATATTGTGCAGCCCTACCCCCAATCATACTAGTATGTAATATGTAGTGAGATAGATCTTTTTGATTGTCTGTATGTTTGGGCTCATCGCCCTGCCACAAAAAATATCTGGAAATGTTCATTAATGATAGCTGTGAATCTAGACATCCTGAAACTCTTACACATCCAGTTGAATGTCTCTTCATACCCATCATTACAGAGTGCCACTCAGCCCAGGTTGTCCTATTCAGAATTGACTGAAGATTACCCACGTTACCCTGACATCCATGATTTGGACCTAACCCTGCTCAACCCCCGCATGATAGTGGTAAGATTGATTTAAATGCTGAGTCACAAAAGTACTTTTGTGGATGAAAAAAATAGAGACATTTTAAATGCAACATTTTCAATATTCAAAAGTTATTCTGAGTTGATAAGGCTGAAAAAACCCCAGATGTTTCCTGTGTTTCCAGGATGTCGCCCCCTACATGAACCCTTGTCCATACACAGTGTCACCCAACACCCGCATCTCCCAGGTATTCAACCTGTTCAGGACCATGGGCCTGCGACACTTACCAGTGGTCAATGCTGTTGGAGAAGTAAGTAGTCATTGAACAGAGGTTTTAGAGTTGCTCCATTATGAATCTAATTCAGTGCGTCATGGGGTTTACACTTCACAAATCTTTAAGTTTCACATGCGCTTGCAGATAATGCTATGTCTGACAAAACTGTTGTTTTGATCTCTTTCAGATTGTTGGAATTATCACAAGACATAATCTAACCCACGAGTTCCTTGTGGCCAAACTGCGACAGCACTATATCACTTTTTAACCCGACTCAGATTATCCTACTGTTCTTTCCAAACTCTATTGAGACTGGTTCTCAGCTTTTGTCTCTGTCCATTCTTTAAAACATTTAGACAATCCCAAACATGTGCAAGGATTTACACCCAGTTTACCATCATACACACATTATTTATAGTGCAGTGGAGAACACTGTTCTAAAGGTACAGTGTGTAGAATTTAGTGATATCGAGTGTTTAAGTTGTGTGTTGCAACTGAACACCCCTCACCTCACCCTACCCTTCCAAACATGAAAAAGAACCTGTGGTAGCTTCAGTTGTCATAAAAACTCAGGTGTTTAGTTTCAGTCTGGACTAATATAAAAAACATGGTGGCCTCCTCAGAGAGGACCCCCTCAACTTAAATATAAA